AGCGCGCGTTCGCTGTTTACGAGCGGTAGCACACTCCGGCTCCCAAGGGCTCCACCCGTTCCCCAGGTTGCCCAGTTCCTCAGGGCCCAGGCCTTCGGCTGATGCTGTGCAATGCCAGGTCTGTAGTAAATAAGGCCCCCCTGATCTTGTGTAGGAGGGGGGAGCAGACCTGGCAGGTATTACGGAGACCTGGTTGGGCCCAGAGGGGGGTCCCCCTCGTAGAAATGTGCCCACCAGGTTTCCATGCATTTCATCAGCCGAGGCCACAGGGGAGGGGCAAGGGGGTAGTAGCGGTTATTATTAAAGAAGGTCTTAGACCGAGGGAGGCCACTGTCCCTCAGACGGCCGGCTGTGAGTCCCTCCTTGTGAAGTGGGATCATGGGGTTCAGATGGGTGTGCTGATCACGTACCTGGCTCTCTGCCACGTGGCAGCAACCCTGCCTGAGCTACTTAACGTCATCGCCGCGGTGGCGGTTGATACCCCTAGACTTATGGTCATGGGGGATTTCAACCTGCCATCCGTGGGTGAGACGTCTGAGGTGACTCAGGAGTTCATGGCTTCCATGACAGCTATGGACCTGACCCAGCTAATTCATGGCCCTACCCACACGGGGGGAAACACGCTGGACTTAGTTTTTGTCTCTGGACAGTGGTTGAATGATCTTGAAACAGGGGATATAGTCACCGAGCCCTTGTCATGGTCGGATCACTCACTCCTTCACTTTGACCTTCAAACCGCTGCACCCTGCCACAGGGAGGCAGAGCCGGTAAGATGGTTCCGCCCCAGGCGCCTGATGGAACCTGACAGGTTCCAGATGGAGCTTGGGCCATTTCCTGAGGCTCTGGCACACGCCTCGACTGGAGAACTAGTGGCCGCCTGGGATAGGTCGGCCACTGGAGCTCTGGATCGGGTCGTGCCTTTGCGGCCTCTGACCCGGTGCCGATCTCACCTGGCTCCCTGGTTCAATGAGGAGCTGAGGGAGATGAAGTGCGGGAAAAGACGCCTAGAGAGCAGTTGGAGGGCCAGCCTTTCCGAATCCAACTGGACACTAGTAAGATCTCATATTAGGAATTACCTAGTGGCGATAAAAGCAGCGAAATGTAATTATTTTGCTGCTCTTATTGCGTCATCAGATAATCGCCCGGCCACCCTGTTTAGGGTGACCCGCTCCTTACTCCACCAGGGAGCACGGGAGGACCCCTTGGAGGGTAGAGCCGAGGATTTTGTACAGTATCTGCATGACAAAATCACTCAGATTCGGGAAGATCTGGACTCTGACTGGGTAGGTTCAGGGGGGACAACTGGGGCAGGTCTTGAGAATGTTATCTGGGATGAGTTTGATCCTGTGACTCCTGATGATGTGGACAGGATTCTGGGGAGACTGAATGCGACCACATGTTTGTTGGACCCATGTCCCTCCTGGTTAGTGCTGGCTTCCCGGGAGGTGATGCGAGGCTGGCTCCAGGGGATTATAAATGCTTCATTGGGTGAGGGTGACTTCCCCACCGCCTTGAAAGAGGCGGTGGTGAGGCCTCTCCTCAAGAAGCCTTCCCTGGATCCGGTAGTGTTGTCGAATTATCATCCGGTCTACAATCTTCCCTTTATTGTGAAGGTTGTTGAGAGTATGGTTGCACGACAGTTCCCCCAGCACCTGGATGAAACGGCGTATCTGGATCCATTCCAGTCGGGCTTCAGGCCTGGGTACAGCACGGAAACGGCATTGGTCACATTCGTGGATGATCTCTGGAGGGCTCGGGACAGAGGTTGCTCCTCTGTCCTGGTCCTATTAGATCTCTCAGCGGCTTTTGATACCATCGACCATGGTATCATGCTGCACCGGTTGGAAGAGTTGGGGGTAGGAGGCACCGTGTTGCGATGGTTCTCCTCCTTTCTCTCTGACCGGTCGCAGTCTATGTTGGCAGGGGGGCAAAGGTCAACCTTGAGGCGCCTTATATGTGGGGTGCCACAAGGGTCGGTCCTCTCGCCCCTTCTGTTCAACATTTATGTAAAGCCGCTGGGTGAGATCATCCGTGATTTCGGGGTGAAGTACCATCAGTACACTGATGATACTCAGCTGTACATCTCCACCCCGGACCACCCCAGTGATGCTCTTGAAGTGATGTCCCGGTGCCTGGAGGCAGTGCGGATCTGGTTGGGAAGGAACAGGCTCAGGCTCAACCCATCCAAGACCGAGTGGCTGTGGTTTCTGACGTCCCGATATAGTCAGTTGACGCCATCGCTGACTATCGGGGGCGAATCGCTGGCCCCCACGGAGAGGGCGCGCAACTTGGGCGTCCTCCTGGATTCACGGCTGTCTTTAGAAGAGCACCTGACGGCTGTGACCGGAAGGATTTTCCATCAGGTTCGCCTGATTCGCCAGTTGCGTCCCTTTCTGGACCCTTAAACACGGTCACTTCCCGCCTGGACTACTGCAATGCTCTCTATGGGGCTTCCCTTGAGGAGCACCCGGAGGCTCCAACTGGCGCAGAGTGCGGCTGCACGGGTGGTTATGGGAGCGACATGGTGCTCCCATGTAACATCTCTCCTGCGCAAGCTGCCCTGGCTCCTGGTGGTCTTCCGGGTGCGCTTCAAGGTTTTGGTTACCACCTTTAGAGCGCTCCATGGCTTAGGGCCTGGTTATTTACGGGACCGCCTGATGCCACAAACAGCCTCCCACCGGCCAGTACGCTCTCACAGAGAGGGACTCCTCCGGGTGCCATCGGCCAATGTCGGCTGGCGGCCCCCAGGGGCAGAGCCTTCTCTGTGGGGGCACCTACTATCTGGAACGAGCTCCCCCCGGAGATATGGAGGATCCCGGATCTACGCACCTTCCGCCGCGCTCTTAAAACCTTTTTATTTCATCAGGCTGGTCTGGCCTAACCTTTCCCATTCTTTTTTAATGTAAATTTTAATTCGTTCTTAACCTGGGGTTTTAAATTTGTCTTGGGCTAAATTGATTTAATTTGATTTTACTTTTGTTCTTAATTTTTGTATTTTACGTGTTTTATTCTGTGCCTGTTCACCGCCCTGAGTCCTTCGGGAGTAGGACGGTATACAAATTAAATAAAATGAAAATGAAATGAAATAATCAAAAGAGGAAAACAATTTTTTTTTGAAAGTGCCAATAAACCAGGAAGACGGTTAGCATATAAATTGAAAAAGGAGAAGAAACTGATGAGCAAACTACAAGATGAGCAACAAACTTTACAGTACCAAAATAAGTCTATAAAGAAAATAATTTAGGAGTTCTCTGGGAAATTATATGATCAAGAAAAAATCTGTGGAAAAGATAAAGCAATACTTAGAGAAGGCTAAACTACCAAAAATGGCTGAAAATGTGAGAGCAATGATAAATGAAAGAATAACGATGATGGATTTAACAGATGAAATAAATAGACAAAAAAATAATAAAACACCAGGACCAGATGGATTACCTGCAGAAGTGTATAAATATTTTCAGGATATATTGAATATGTCAATGCTTGGGGTTTATAATGTATTGGAAACTAAGATGCCAAACTCGTGGATAGAAGCCACTATTATTTTAATACCGAAAGACTCAGATTTAACACAGATAAAGAATTATAGGCCTATATCTCTATTAAATTATGATTTTAAGATTATAAAATATTTGCATCAATAATAGCAGAAAGATTAAAAAGATTTTTGAAAGAATTTAGCCACCCTGACCAAAATGGATTTTTATCTAAGACAAATTAAGAACAATGTAAGAGTTATCTTAGATATGCTGGAATATTATGATATATACTCTGACAAATAAAATAGTGTTAGATGTGCAGAAAGCATTTAACAATGTAAATTGGCAATTCATGGTTCAACAGCTAGAGTGTATGGAATATGGTGAGAAGTTTATGAATATGATTAAGACTATATATTTCAAAAAATGGCAAAAGTAATAGTGAATGGGGACTCGACAGCAAACTTTAACATAAAAAAAAGGCACAATCACATACTAGGTTCGTACTACCATATTTGGTGGACATGACCAAAGGCAAAAAAAACTGGACGAAAATACATACATGGTTAGAGAAAATGATAAAGCAACATATAGATTTAAAGCCAGAAATATTTTTGTTAGGTATATTACCAGAAAAATATAACAGAGGGGTTGTACATTTAATACTACATGTGTTGTATTTGCACAATATTTGAAAAATGAGGAAATTCCTACAGATGAAAACATAATTAGAAAAATATTAGACTGTGCGGAAATGGATAGGTTAATATTAAAGATAAAGGATAAAAAAGATACAGAATATTTTTAATATGGGATTTGTTTTACCAATGCTTAGACAATAGAGGTAGAAATTAGAACACCACTATATACAAGTAAATATTGTTACTATTAATGATATTATGTATAAGTAAATTGACCCAGACAATAAACTGCCTATTAAGCACTAATCTATGTTAAAGAAAAATGCACAAATATTTTTTTAAAAATGTCATAAAAATGAGTCCAATTCATGTTACAACAATTTTGACTTACAACCCTAATGGGCTGTACCTAAAGTACTATACCTTTATTTAGAAGTGTATTGTTTTTACTGTCTCATGTTCTTATTCACTGATAATTTTATTTTTTTTCTGTTAGAAATAGGTAGTGAATATACTGTATGCTGTCATAAATTAATTTCAAACTGGCTAACAAATATAGTTTGCTCTGTATATGGAGAAAATTCAGGAATCAAATGATTCTAGGAACAAGTTGGCAATAATTCTTATGGCTAAGAAAACATTCTTTCTTAGTATCAAAATTTTACAAATTGCTGATAATCTGAAAGCAATTCAATAATTACAACTTCTCATGTAATTGAAAGAATCTGAGGTCATTTGTACTTATATATTTACTATGTTCTTTCTGCTGATTTTTATTTTCTAACTTTATTAATTCTGCTCATTAGTACATGCTTTATGATATGTACGAGTGAAGTTTTCAATTTTAACAGGCTATTTTATTTTACTTACAGAAACATACCTCAGGCCCTGTGATATGCAAGAGTCCGGAAACAGCAGCTGCAACTGAGTCATAACCTGCTTGTTGAAATTTTGGACCAGTCTGACCATAGCCTTAAAAAATGGGGGGGGGGGGGGAGGAAATGAGAGAATGTAAACATACTAGCAGTGAACTCTTGCCTCAACTAAATAGAAGCATAATGCTACTCAATTACAAATATTCAGAACTGCAGGTAATTTATATGACTCTTCTGGGCTAGGAAGAGTCCTAGAATCATCCCACAAGATCCTCCATACAGCAATGGTCTGCAAGTAGCTTCAGGAGCTATGCTTTGAAACAGCTGGTGAGCCAACAGCTTGGTGGCAGGGCTGCAATCACTTCATCATTAGAAAAATAGCCGCTTTGGAATTTATTTCTCAAACACACAATTTGTGCCTTTCATTTCTTAATCGATTTATGAGACTATTATCTTTACTAGCTAAAAGTTTGAAGTCCTTCTTTCATCAAAGCCTGTTACTTTTTTTGAACCTCTATGCCATTTTTTAGATTTATTTATTGTTAAAGGAAAAGGAAAAAGATTACTAGAAGTGTGGAGTATTTTTTTTCTTAATTTTGATGGAGAAGTGTAAGGATAGAAAGTAATGATTTGATTTCATTATCTCTACAATGTGTAGCTCTGGATTGCTTTGTTGTGGATAGTTGAAATGCTCTGATTTTTATGAACTCTGGCAAGAAAAACAATAAATAAATAATTACATTAAATACATATATTGACCACTAGAGGGAGCTATGAAGCTGCTTAAACCTAGCTTGAGTTTATTATTAGGGAAGCCTTTGAAGTCTCTATAAAATAAAATAACTGATTTTGTAAACCAAATTGGTACTAAAGATATAGATGGTAGAGATGGTATAAAAAGCAAAAGGTGCAATTAGAGAAAAGACAAAAAGGACAACTATAAAAAGTGGAAAGAGGAGCACATAACTAAGGCAGAATATCAGCAAATAGCCCGAGCCTGCAAAGATGAAGTAAGGAAAGTTAAAGCTCAAAATGAATGAAGGCTTGCGACAAAAGTAAAATATAACAAAACAAAACAAAACGCTTTTTTCAACATGTTAAAAACAATAAAAAAGTCAGGGAAACAACTGGTCCATTAGTGGGATAAAGTGACAAAAAGGGAATAACCAGAACTGCTTTACTCGGTTTTTGCATCCATCTGTACACAAAAGGAAAAAACAGTCCAACCTATCAAAAACAGTACAATAAAAAATAGATTAGGAATACAAGTTAAAATAGGGAAGAGAATGGTAAGTGAGCACCTGCCCATCTTAGACAAGTACTAATCATCAGGACCAGATGGATTACACCTCAAGGTTCTGCCACAACTGGCAGACGTAATCTCAGAACCACTGAACCAGTGAGATTCAACTGGTTCGCACCACTTCAGCCGAACCAGTTGTTAATTTGCTGGCTGGCCCCGCCCCTCACTCCTTACCTCGCCCCGCCCACCTTGACCGATGCCTACAGTCATGCCTGTGGCATAGCTGCTGCTGCTCTCTGGTTCCCTTACTTGCCTTGATCACGGCCCCCACAGCCCAGCTGATCTCTGCCTAGTGAGTCTTCCTCCCTTAGCTGCCTCCCACACAGCACAGCCCACTTGCCTGCCTTGCCGCAGCCTACCTGATCTCTGCATGGGCACCTGGGAGTGTGGCTGACACTTGGCTTCCAACGCCAGAGAGGACAGGCAAGGGAAGTGGCCGGGCTGCTGCTGCCTTTCATTGGGGCGCGTGGAGCAAGATGGAGCTCCTGTTGCCACCTCTTCTCCTCCCCCCCGCACCAGGCATGGCAGGGCTTCCTGCCCCTCACTTTCATTGTAATTTGGGAGTGTGGCAGTTGGAGAAAGGTGGAGTGGGGGAGGAAGGGTATTCCAGACTCCCAGGCCTACTGGCTTCTTCTCGGCAGCTCTTGCTCTGCCTTTTGGTATCAGCTGTCAAAGACGAGGTTTTTGTGGGCAGAAGAGTTTACCTTCCCCCGAACATTTTTTTGCCTACCTGATTTCCAGCTTCATTGTATTTCTCGCATTTCTCACCATCGTGTGCAGGGAAACAAAACTTTGTGGGACTAAAAATAAAGTGGAATCAATCAATTTCAACTTCTCACGAAACAAAAAAATCTCACGAAGTTGGAATCGATTGAATTTTTTTTTTAGCCCCACAAACCAATGTTTTCCTGCACACAATAGAAAAAAATACAACAGACCTGGAAATCAGGTAAGCAAAGCAATGCTTGGCTAAAGCAAGGGCATCTGGCTGGTAGTGGGTGGAACAAGCAGTGGAATCGCAGTGAAAAAAAACCGAAGCCATGCTTTATAGCCAGGACCACCCCCACCCCCCACTAAACAAACAGCAGCTGTGATGGCTCTGTTGCGCCACACCTCCTCCTGCCGGGAAGATCCTGGAGCACTGGGACATTACCAGAGGACTGGAAAAGAGCTGATGTAGTTCTCATCTTCAAAAAAAATGGAAGAGAATAGATCCAGGAAACTACAGACCTATCAGCCTGACCTGAATACCTGGGAAAATTTTGGAAAAGATAATAAAATAATGAATTTAGTGAACACGTAGAGGTCATAATCAAAAAGCCAACATGAGTTTGTCAAAAAAGATCATGCCAGACAAATCTTATTGCATTCTTTGACAAAGTGACAAAATTAGTGAACCAGAGAAATGCTGTTAATATAATTTACTTGGACTTCAGTAAGGCATTTGATAAAGTAGACTACAACCTACTACTAGATAAAGTAGAAAAATGTGGGTTAGACAGCATCACCACCAGATGGATACATAAATGGCTGACCAACCACAATGATCAACGTGTGGTCCTCAATGGAACTGCATCTACATGGAGGGATGTATGCAGTGGGGCACCCCAAGGCTCTGTTTTAAGCCCAGTACTCTTCAATATCTTCATCAATGATTTGGACGAGCAGATAGATGGCTAAGTCATCAAATCTGCAGGCAACACCAAACTGGCAGGAATAGCCAACACTCCAGAAGATGGGTTTAAGATCTTGACAGACTTGAACATTGGGCACTATCTAGCAAAATGAAATTAAATGGTGAAAAAAGTAAGGTTCTACATTTAGGCAAGAAAAACAAAATGCACAGGTACAGTAGGTGGTACCTCGCTCAATAGTAGTAACTGCAAGAGGGATCTTGGAGTCTCAGTGGACAATCATTTAAATATGAGCCAGCAGTAGGCTGCAGCTGCCAAAAAAGCCAATACAGTTCTAGGCTGCATTAACAGAGGGACAGAATCAAGATCATGTGAAATATTAAATACCACTTCATAATGACTTGGCAAGGCCACACTTGGAATACTGCATCCAGTTTTGGTTGCCACGATGTAAAGATGTTGAGACTCTAGAAAGAGTGCAAAGAAGAGCAACAAAGATGATTAGGGGACTGGAGGCTAAAACATATAAAGAATGGTTGCTTGAATTGAGTATGTCTAGTTTAATGAAAAGAAGGACTAGTTGTAACATGATAGCAGTGTTCCAATATCTCAGGGAATGCCACAAAGAAGAAGGAGTCAAGCTATTCTCCAAAGCACCTGAGGGCAAAGCAAGAAGCAACGGATGAAAACTAATCAAGGAGAGAAGCAACCTAAAACTAAAAAGAAATTTCCTGACAATTAGAATGGTTAATCAGTGGAACAACTTGCCTGCAGAAGTTGTAAATGCTCCAACACTGGAAGTTTTTAAGAAGAGATTGGACAACCATTTGTTTGAAATGGTTTAGGGTTTCCTGTCTAAACAGGGAGGTGGACTAGAAGATCTCCAAGGTCCCCAACTCTGTTATTCTAATTATTTATTCTAATTATTTATTCTAATTATGTGTAGAAAATTATCAACCCACTCAGACAACTTTACAAATATCTGGCAAACAACTCAATGGCAAATTTGCAATAAAAACTGACACCAACTTCTATTATGAAGGTAGTTTGAATATAACCCTCTTAGTACAACTGAAACAAGAGTTTCAAGTAAATTCACAACTCTTAAGATGTCAAGTTTGGGACTTTTTCTTCATGACACTAACAAGGCTGAAAATTCTTTGAGAAAAAGAGATCTGATTGGTATCTCAGAAAAGGTTTTATTCTACATGGAAGAACTCCAAGTTAATCTATAATTTTTAATAAAACAACTTTAGGACATTTTTTCATGGATATTGACAAGCTTGAGAATTTCTTAAGGAAAAGGGAAAGACATTCCTGAGAACAAAAAGATTTTATGTCGATAAGATAGACGGGGTGCCTTAATTTTAATGAACTAATCAGAGTTACAAGTTTGATCTATGTATTCAAAGAAAGCCTTAATATAGTTTTATGTTTATAAAATGGGTTTGTAAACGTTTGTTTCCAGTTTTTTTATCTAATGATACATTAATTCCCAAAGTTTGTAAAATATTATTGAAATCCAATTTGAAAATATGGTTATGACTTTTAAAGGGAAGAAAAAGATTTTATTCCATAAGTATAAATTGGAGAGAGAGATTTAGATTTAATAAGCTAATTGTAGTTAGTTGGATTTTTAATTGTGTGATATATATAACTAAAAGAAAGTTTTAATATAGTTTTGGGTTTTAGGTTTTGGATTTGTAAAGTGGGTTGGAAAATGAAAGGGTTTTTTTTTTTCTTTATACATAATACTTGACTAATTTTTAAAGTTTGTAAAGTATTATTGAAAGTAAATTTTAGAGTATATATGTTAAGAGGAAGTTAAAAAAATATGTATTAGGACTTATTTATTTTAGAAATGTTTTTAAAGAAAATGTTAACATTTTAAAATTTAAAAAAAGTGTTTTTCCTCTTTGGGGTTAAAAAAATTGAAAATTTTTTTTAATACAAATTATGATAATCTATAAAGATCAATGAGTAAACAGAAATACATATTATTTCCCACAGAAAGGAAAAGTAGAGATTGTTAAATCAATTCCTTTATCCAAAGAGAATATATTTAATTTTTTACTATTTGGAAATTGCTTCTGGACTTTGTGCTTGTGATAGAAAAAAATGAAACTTTTGTTTTTGATATCTTAATAAGATCATGGGGAA